CTCCCCCTCGCTCCCTCTCTCTCTCTTCCAGCTCGACAACGCCGAGGGATTCTGTTTCCACGGGCCCCGGACTCATTCCCGGCGACCCTGATTTCGTTTTTCGATGTCGTTATGTCGGAACGATTTTCGGTGAAGCGAGAAAATTATACGTTCGGCTCGGCGTTTTTTGTGGAATTCCCCGGGGATAGACTTGTTGCCGCGGCGTCCGGGATATTCTTTCATTGGCAACTCGACAGACGTACTCCGGCAATTCCGAAGTCTCGAGCCCCTCACGAGGGCTCCGGGATGATGAGAGGTTTCGATTGAGTTTTCTTGAAAATCGATCTTTCGAGCCACTCTCGGCGAACGAAGACGTCGGTGGGTAATTTCGAGAGCGTGGTCTCGATATTTCTTTCGATCGCCGAGCCGCGTCGAAAAGAGAAGCTCGATTCTTTTCTTTTAAGTAATATTTTCGAAAGAGAACCTGTCGCGCGTTAAATTCGTTCAAATGATTCGATGGCTCGCGGATAGAATTGTCGTGGTATTTGTACAATTTATTAAAAGAAATTCGTAATCACTGATCTTCGATTGTTAAAGAAACCGATAGAAGCGTTAAGAACACGGTATTTTCGATCTTAATTTCAGCCCTTCCGGCTACAGGAACAAATTTTTCAGGTGATGCAACGAATTTCATTGATTATTATTCACCTTCGAACATGTCCAAAAATGTTACAAGATGTCTCGACCGCTAAGTATCGTATAGTAAAGGAAACAAGTTTTTTTTTATTATTAACAGACTGCGGATTCGATGCATTTATGGAAAGAATTGGTAATAAATGCTGTTACATTATTTTCAGCACGTTTTAAAACTGTTAAAAGGAGAAATACATCGTTGTGTAACCACTATTTCGAACGATCGAAGCGCAAAGTTTCTATTTAGCGCAAAGAATCGCGGTCCAATTGTTACTCGTCTCGAAACGCAAAAATGTTCGAAGAAAAGCGTAACGTGCTTTAATTTTCTCCGAAGAAATTCCAAAGATCCAGAGAACGGTTCCGAAAGCGGGGCACACACAGATTTCGAAGCGCGAATATCGAATCGATCGACCACCGCTTGAATCGGCTGCGATCTACCGACGGCAGGTCGCCATCGGCAGCAGGTAAAAATCGAGTCTCGCCGATACCATTTTCTGGCCGAAATGACGCGCGCTAAGAGCCTTTCACCACGGCGCGATCTAGACGCGTAAAAAGCCTGCGAAGAATACGCGCGCATTCAGCGGATGCACGCGATCCCGTCGTTGACTCTTTCAGGGTGCAGCAGCTGATTCGGCGTATCGGTCTCGAGGAACGCGCGATAAGCCGATTAACGCATTCGATTCACCTATTCTGCCCGGCCCTCGAATCCCCATTGTGTCCCGTCGATCGCACGGGAAGCCGGCGTGCACGGTGTTCTCCGGTTATCCGTTCCCTCGCCTTTTTTCCTTTTTATTCTGTTTCACGCAACACGACCTCTTTCAGCCGTCCATTAACGCCTCTCTTGTCCGCTGGTATTCGCGCGGCGCCGATTCCTCGCGCGCCGCTTGTAAGCTTCGAACGAACTTTCATTAATTCCCGCGATTCTTTGCTTTCTCGTTCCTTTTATTTCTCTCTCTCTCTCTCTCTCTCTCTCTCTCTCACTCACTCACTCTCTTTCTCTCTTTCCCGTTCTCGTCTTCGAGACGAGATCGCGCGCTATGAAATTGCTCGTCTCTCGATAAGCGACATCGTCCCTCGTTTAACGAACCCCACCGTGCACCGTGTAAGCCTGAATTCCAATTATACCGGTACGAGGCTACAACTATAATTTCATTTGCTGGCAAGTTTATAGAGACGTCGGGTAAATATGCGCCGACGATGAATACCGCGGGACCGGGCTTTTCGTGTAATTGATAGAAACTTAGACGGACGGAAAGGACTTCCGGATGCTCGCGCGAAGACGCGCGCGCGCGCGCTCGCGAGTGCTCGACGCAGCCTTTGACGCAGACAGCATGAGTCTCTGCTTCTGCAGCATCGGCTTCCGGGAACTATCTTCTATACATATAGGCATTCCGACGGTTTATCATTAAAGTGGATAATTTGCTTTATCCGTCGTTTTCTTCGTTCGTTCGTTTCACCGATGACTTTCTAAAATCTCTTGCACTGCATTTATTTCTGTCTGCGACCAACTCCCGTGAAAGAATCGGAAAGGAAATGTTACCGGAGGTTGATTCGTTCGAAGAATAACAGCGGCAAATATACTATTCGGATAAATACAGACAAGATTGGCAGTGTGTTAACCACTTGCATTAACCCTTTCGATACTACGAGCCACTATAGTGGCCCTCCATAAGATGCCACCTAGGTACTACGGGCCACTATAGTGGCCCTCCATAAGTTCGATCGTTTGTAGCGAATAAAATCAGTGCCTACTGCAGAAAGATAATTCACCTTATTTTTCTCTCAACAACGGATAAATAGATATGCCTTATTTTTTTCAATTTTGTTTAACTTCATTTGGATTAACCCTTTTGCTACGGGCGGGTTCTCCGCTGCGGTACCCCCGCAAAGATCGGCGTCTTGTAGCGTGCAGCGATGTCGCAGCGCGCCGTCCAGCAGAAGTACCGCGGCGGAAAATCCGCCCGTAGCGAAAGGGTTAAAACGAGTCTGACTCGGGAGGAAGATTTCATACGCGATCTGCGAACCGAAATTACTTTCTGTGGCAAGAAAGTCTTTTCCGTGGCGACAAAGTCTTTTCCGAATCGAAATTACTTTCCGTGCAAAAAAGTCTTTCCCAAATCGGAATAACTTTCCGTGGTAACAAAGTCTTTTCCGAACCAAAATTATTTTCCGTGGCAACAAAGTCTTTTCCTAACCGAAATTACTTTCGTGCTCTCTTCTCTCCGCCGGTTTCCCGGCGCGGCTCCGCGCCGGTTCGTTGATCGTATCGTGCCGCGGGTGACTTTAAATCAGAAAGTTAATTAGACGCGTTTCACTGTCCTTTATGTCGGCCGTCCGTCGCGTCGCCCTGGTACCCTTTACGAAGCGCGCCGGTAGCACGGCTGAATATATACACGCCGCCGTGAACGGCTTTCATTATGCGAACTAATTAAACTCCAATCGACGCTGACACTCGACGCCACGGCTCTACTATGCTTCTCGTTTGCACCGATCGACGCGGCACGTCGCGAGCCTGTGTGAGGCCCCGGTTAGGGCCCCGCCGAGGCACCCGTGTCTCCTTCTCCCTCGTCTGGACAGGGGGGGGGCGCCGGGGAACCCTCTCGCGCCGCTGCCGCGCCGCGCCGGCCAGCCGATCCGGCGACATCCGGATACGTACGCGGACCTTGACAAGAGAAAATGGCAGCAACAGAGACGCGTTGCCAGTATTCGCTTCCCCTTTCGGAATAAGATCGATTCGATCGCTAAGTTTCTGGGAACTCGAGGGCCGTGGTTGTTGGAAGTGTGAGGCGCGACATGTTGCTCGGTCTAATTGGCTACTCGGTGCTCGAATTTTTAGCTGACCGAACCTTCCCGCACCATGCACCAGCGACAGACGCGCTTGCCTCGTACATGGTTCCTTCGGGGGAACGAGAGTTTTTTCATTCGAGACGCGAATATCTCGCGTAAGAGACGACCGTCCGAGAAGATAGACCGCCGCCATTTTGATATATTGTAGCCAATAGCTTCTCGTTCCTCGAATTATTTGTTAAATTCACATTCCCACGTTCAAAATTAATTATCAAACTATTTAATTATCAACTGTCAAATTTATATCTCATTATATCAAAAATCTGTTGCCGATATTTATGCAAAATTAAAAATTATTTTCGACAATTGCAACAAAAAGAAGTCGGACAGAAATCTCGTTCTTTCTCTCTTTAAGCGAGTAAAATAATAATACGTGGATGTTCCCAAGTTCTTTTAATACTTCCATCGCGTTTTAAATTTTAATTATCCATTTCTGTCGTGAACGCATAAAACCGCGGTCTAGTCGTAAGACTCAATTTCATATGTGTAAAAAGCACTAAGTTGTACAAAATGAAAATACCGTAGGTCGGGAAAAACTGTTTCGAATTTAGACTTAAAACGGCAAAGGGTTAATCGGCAAGACGATGCGACGCAGGAGCTAGAACGACGACGTTTGGAAATGTTCGACCGGTTCGTTGCTCTTGGTTCGATTGAAATAACGTTGTTAACATTGTATATTAATTGTGCCAAGCTTCGTAACATTATCGTCGCGCACCGAACGCGAGAGCGTGCACGGCGGATTCGAATTCTTTCCGGTTCGGTGTCGGCACACGTGGCGAGCCCTTTCGAATACAGATAAGGTTACAGGGAATATTCACAAAAGGGGGTATAATGGGAATTATTAAGGGGCGGATATCATATTTGAACGGGCTGCGAGGGAACCATAGAATAGGTGGAATCGATATCCCGGTAGGGGCTCGGTGTAATTATGAATGATTTCGAATATGATCTGTCAGCGTTGCGACTACGATCTCGACACGCTTCGATTGGCATGCCTATTGTACCAATTTCGTGTAATTGGACCGTAATCATTCAAACTATACGTTACCGGTGGCGCGACTCTTGTGTTTTCGAATTTAAAATTCCATTCGATTGATCGATGCCGCGGGACCGCTCCGAATAATATTCCCGGACAGGTATAGAATTTGTTTTTCTCGACGGAAACGCGCGCCGTATTAAATTGCGTTCCATAATTTTCTTGCGGATAATTTCTCGGATAGCGAATTCTGAGCCGACAAGACGGCGATCTCGTTATGCTACGAATATGAACGAGCAAAAAATGTAATCGTTCCGATAGCGACCGGTAATAATAGCCGCGCGTATACATACACATACATATACGCGCGAACATTAACCGTAACCTCGATAAGCAGCTTACAGATAATCCTATTAGCTGTATTAATAAGCGCAATTCGGAACAACTGCGGAGGGGACCCGTACCGAACACTGGCTTTTCGAATAATCTGCCGAGGTTTTCTTACCTCTGCCACCAGCGCTCTTCATCCTGTAACATAAAGACGAATGAATCCATTAGAAAAACGGAAATGCCGTCGACCTGTTGGTGAGAAGAAAATGCTAAGCCCTTTAGCCGATAACTATTTATTAAGTTCGCGAGTCCTCTCGGTTGATTTCAGGATCGAGGCAAGATCGTTACGAGAGCGTAATTATCTACCGTACACGTTGCGCATTAGATCAAACCGTCAACATGTTTTCCTTATGACAGGTACGACGTGAAAAATCCCTTTAGCACATTCTCGTTAATTTGCCTCCGTTCGAGACGGTGTTTACAAACATTAATTGTCGCGCACCATGTACTGTCCGTTGCCCGGAAGAAGTCCGCTGAGAAAAGTATAGGACCCAATTCCCACCAACTCAGGCATGTTAACGCTCTCGCGGAAGTAGAGTTATTGGCACAAATGACCTCTTGCTATTACCCCCAATATACATATATATATATACAGGGTGTCCCAAAATTATGGTACTTCCGGGAAATGAGGGGTTCCTGAGCTGATTTGGAGTAACTTTTTTCTCAACGAAAATGTAATCCGCAGCTTCGTTTACGAGTTATTAACGAAAAGCAATGACCAATGAGGGGCGAGCTCGCCTGGCGCTAGGCGGCAGTGCGCTAGGCAGCAGTGCCAATGAGCGGCACTGGGCTTCGTGCGCTCATTGGCTAGGCTGCCTCGTGCCAGCCGAGCTCGCCCTCATTGGTCAGTGTTTTTCGTTAATAATTCGTTAACGATGTCTCGGAGAAAATTTGTATAAAGGAAGAAGTTGTTTCAAATAACCTGAGGAACCCGCCACTTTCGGATTGCGAGACATTTTCGGGACACCCTGTATATGCGGCATCGAAATGAAGTGTATTCAAGTGTATAAAAATGATAAAAGATCGGATTCGCGGTACGAGTGCAAAGATTGCGATGTTGGCCTTTGTATAGATCCTTGCTTTCAAATATATCGCACAGAATTATATTATTAGTTTTTACATATTATTATATTAATATATATATATATATATATTAATAATTTTCGTCTCGTTATTAATTATATTAATAACACATTTATAATAATACATTTAATCGATAGGCTTTGTAATTATATAAATACCTATGTTATCGATAAATTTCGCTTTGTAAGCTCGTCAAAGAAGCACGTGATTCAGCATTTTACGAATAAACGACGGGGCTCCTACGAGGATAGGATTTTGAAAACACGAGAAAAATGTCGGAAAGTTCTTTCTTTTATTTGAAACGTTAAAAAACTGTCTTTTATTTTCTCGCGAAAGAACGAAACAACTTTCCGAACAACCCAATAGTTTTCCCTTCGGAACCGATGGAGCTGCGTTCGAAAAGTTTCTCGCGTCGCTAAAGATCAAGAAGACATTTAGGTGTCTGGTCTTCGGCGGACCCAACAGCGGCGGAACTAAATTGCCATCCGCAGGAGTCGGAGAAGCCCAGAAGCACTTGGTAGCGTTATCAGGCGGTGAGAGCATGGTGCGCGAGTACAATAACCAGTTTTTGCGGGGGCCACGGATTCAAAAAAAATTCGAAGAGATGATCATCTTAAGTGGCGTCGCTCAAGTGCAACCGCGGTAACCGGCCATTAAAATCGCAAACGCGGTATACATGATGGCCGAGAAAAATTCGCGTTAACCGCGCTCTGAATGCGAGCCTTTGTCTCGATCGTCGGAGGAAGTGGATCGCTATAAAGATCCGGCCGATTCCTCGTCATGCTGGAACGAACTGTTGGCCGTGGTTGCACCGCTGTCCCTCGTTGTAGCGCCTTCGCGAGGATCTTTCCTCCATCTTCCTCTTTGCTTCTTCTCTCTTTCTCTCTATCTCGTTTTCTTTGTCTTTCTCGCTATCTCCTTCTATCACTCTCCGTTTTCGCTCATTGTTTCCCGCCTCGGTTTTTTGCACTGTCACACGACCGGGATTCAAATCGACCGATCTAGTTAGCAACCGGTTCGCCCTCCTTATTACGGATCGGGTCAGCCTCGATTTTGATGCATTGCGGGTAGGCGGTAATTTAAGGGAATCGATCCGGCCGGGTCTGCGGATCGCGGCCGGCGAAACCGCGATCGTTTCGCGGATCGGCCTGATCGCCGATCCGTATCGAGAAATGCATCGCCGCCTCGTTTCCTCTTTGTACGGATTTCGAGAGGCAATCTCGTAGAGGCCGAGCCGCGCAGGTGCTCGCGCTCTCATATTTCAATTCGAGATTCCGTGATCGATAAATCCGGGGAGCGGTGATTGAATTCGACTGACCGGAATCGGTCGTTGCGTATCTCTATTCGCCCGGCGAGCTTCCGAGCTCTGTTCGTCGTTCGATTAATTTGTTAACCGAGAGTTTCTACGGGGCATGGACAGCCATACGTATCTCGCAAATAAACGTTAAACTGTGCACTTCTTAGGCTCTAGAGAAGTGCTCTTTAGAAGTGCTCTAAAAGATTTTTTAACAGCAATATAGAACATTTATTCGTTCGAGTACAATTTTACTGAAAAATGGAGTCTCTGTTTTCGTTTCAATGCCTTCATGGAGAGGATGCGTTACAATTAATAATCGTTAACCATTCCTTGGAAAATGTCTCTCTCCCTCTTCATATGTTTAGTAAAAATGCGGATATCCAGCAGATATCCTTCCACGGTCTTGATAACCAAGATTATTACATTCACACTTCGTAAAATTTGTTTCGTCGCATCCAATCGAAATTTTGTACAGGAGTATTTCTTATAAGTAAATATCTTCCCTGCCTTTCTATTTTACAGCTAAAATACCATTGCATGATCTTGAAGTAACTTGAGATCGTTTTGGTACATTCTTGCAACGTGTATACAAGAAAAAGACGTGCGCGTCTTTTCAGCGCACGTGGTCAATTGCGATTGCTGCACATGTTTCCAGTTTCTTTCTTTTTAACCACTTGACATACAATGACGTCTGGAAGACGTCATTTACTTCATGTGCCATTGTAGACTTTGACGTCTCCAAGACGTCAAGAACTGTATTCGGCGAGCGCCGTGCATTTCATTATTAGATTCTTTAATTGTTTCGGTCGTGCATTGATGCTGTTTTGTTTAGACTGTTGGAGATGCTTTCCCCCTCCTAACAGTACCGATAAACAAAATTGCATCGACAAATAAAACCGACCTGTGTTCTGGAGTATAATCGTGGAATGGGAGGTGTAGACAAGCAGGACCAATCTCTTGCATGTTTCCCCCTCATGAGAAAATGTGCAAAAGGATATAAAAGAATATTTTTTTATATGTTTGATGTAGCTATTTATAATGCTTATGTTTTATATTCCAAATTGCCTACTTCACAAAAGCAATCGATTGTGAATTTTCGATTGAATATTGCAGAAGACATGCTTTGTAATTTGTCCCTG